ATTATATATAAGATGAGTTGCTTTTGAATATTACAACTTTGATCGTAATTGTGGTAATAACAATCTTGCGGTCTATTAGCTTTAATTGCCATTTACACAGAACAAAATTGTTAAGATAATTTTATTTGAAATAGAATTATAAAAAAAAGTGCAACTTCATAATTGGGGTCCAGGAGCATTATAACCTTTTCTCTTTTTATTTTGTAACTTCAGCTTTTAGTTAAAATATTAAATTCATTATGAGCAAATGCCAATGCTGGAGGCAAACTCATTAATGAGAAAGCCAAGGGTCCCAAATTGGCTTTTACACTTCATGTACACTGCCCTAATTCTGAAATTGAGGAGGAATAAGTTATCAATAGCTTCAAAAGTTACCTTAACATTTTCTTTTAATTTCCTCTTTTGTTTCCAACTTCAAGAGTTATATTTTGATGGATTACACTAAATTTGATGGATCTTATATATATATATATATAACATTGCAGGAGGTATACTCAAACAAATTGGTAATCTTAAAAGTTTAAAACTTTTATTTTTAGACAACAATAAGTTTTCTGGCCAAATATCATCAACTCTCTCCAATATATCTGAGCTACAAGAGATTGATTTAAGTTGGAATAATTTGTCGGGAGGCATTCCCTCAAATATATGTCATGGCCTTCTAAATTTACAAGTTTTGCATCTTCAAGCCAACAAATTATTTGGAGCTATACCATTTGGTTGGACACAATGCAAGGAGCTCAAACAGTTAGATTTAGCGATCAACTTTTTCACAGGAACGCGCTACCCGCTATGCCAAATCACTAAATCCAATCTTGCCAAATATATTTTGATTGCATTCTTATGAATTGGACATTGGTGTTGATCATAACCATTAAACAAATTAGACTTCCTTAATTTCCATTTAAATCAAAATTTCTCCTTGACAATCAATTTATATTTATATAAAAAAAACCAACTCAGGAGCCGCCCACATATTTTGGAAATAAGCGTAAAGTAAAATAAAAATTGGGCATTATTTTTTATTAAATATAAATTCTGCTTTTTCTTAGAAAGGCTTTTATCAGGCTTCACAACCTAGCACCCCGTTTTCATGTTCCACCCTCCCTTATATATATATATATATATATATGAAAGTAAGACCCAGTTGGATCAACTTCAAATTCTGGTATTTATATTCATTAATGTTTCTAAAATTGCAATCAAATCCTAATACGCTAAAACTGTAGTTTGGTAGTTGACTATGGTTCTCATAATGGGAGGGAACATGCTTAGCAATTTGGTTATTCTTTCTTCCTTCTTGCATCTGGGTCATCGTTTGGAGTTTGAAAAGTATCTCAATTCTAGGTATGTTTTAACAGTTTAATAAGTTATATATAACTGCTTTTACCAAAATATATATATATATATAACTGCTAAAATTATTTTTTCAATTTTTTTATTTTCTTTTTTACTTTTGCAGTCTCATGGAAAATCAAGCTCTTTGATGCAGTATATTTTCTTTATTTTGTGAACCCAATTATTAAAAGAATATTTTTATTTCTTGTCCTTACACAAATTTCTTAAATTTTAAGAGAGTGGATCAAGAAAAAAAAGTTTCAAGTGCGTTTGCATTCTTTTTTTGGGGGGGGGGGCTGTTTGTTTAAGATAAAAAAATAACTGATTTTCATTTAGTTTAAATATTTATAAAAATAGATTTATCTTGGAAAGATTTTATAGAAAGGATTTATTATTTTATGTTCGTTTACAATAATAAATATGATAGTTGTTTAATTATTTTAGATTTTATGATATCTTTGTGGATCTCTATGTACAAAAAATAAGTTATTGTTTAGTTATTTTAAAATTTTATAATTTCTTCATGTATCTCCACATTTTTTATGGAATTCTCTCTCAGCTATTATATCTATTAGAGTTAATTAATATATTAGAGTTGGAACGTATTTATTGGGTGAGAGTATTAATATGAACATCAATATTAAAACATGAAGTCTCTATCTCACTTGTTCCCTTTAAATGGTAAACGAGAATTAAATAATGGAAAATATAGAACTTCATTCCCCATAATTTTACCATTTTAATTTTAATATGGCAATAAATGCTGACATTATATATTAATCTAGTGCATAAAACTTTTTTTCTATATAATCGTCTTGTATGAGATTAATTCTTTAACCCATGTTCATTGTACTAGTTATTACATTATGAATTCATGACTTTAGTTATTGTTAATTTTAATGATGTTGGTTGCTGGGATGTCTTCTCTTCAGGGGCATCAAAGTTCATTTTTCTTCATATTACAATGTTCTAACTAGCAACTTCTATTTTAAGATTATTTTCTTAAAATTACTATGAAGACGATGCATTTTATTTTTCATTTTCACCTTTTTTTATTATAAGTTTTTGTATTCATGAAATTTCCTATTTCAATAAATGTTTATGCATAAAAATAAGTCTTTGGTCATCTTCAAACCATGACTTTTCTTGTGGTTATGTCATCATTAGTTGTTATTGGTAAAGGTGATATTTGAGATTTCAAAATTATAAGCTTTTAAATGCCAGCAGTAAGATCTCTCATCGCGGATACAGCTAATTAACTATAACAATTTATTGGAGTAGAAACGTACTTCTTCCAACAACAATAGTTTGCAATTTTAGTTTTAATTTACATAATTTTTTTCAAGGTAAAGGTGTTATTATGTGTAAGATTAGAACTTTAGATATATACTACTTAATGTTCTTCTTCAACATTCATTTACCCCATTTTATTTAATATTAAACACAAGTATATCCTTAACATTTAAATTATAAACAAGAAAGCAACAAAAATAATAATCGTGATATAGCCTACAGGTGTATTTTAATTTATCAAAGTTATATATATATATATATATATATTGTGTGAAACAAATATACTATCTTGAATGATTTGCTAAAAGTAGTTATGATATTATTATAGGTGATTTCCCCGTAATATCCCCTTAATTCTACAAAAGCCTATTTTTGTTATCATATATTGGAAGAGAAACTGTGGGAGATATTCTAAAAATCAATCATCTTGCAAATATGAAAAGTATATACTTTACTACATGTCTTTAACTTGTCTTGCCACATCATCGAAGAACCATTGAAAACTTAAATATTCTTTTCATGGCATTGCTTGAGATAACTTTTCTAAATGACATGTTGTGTGATATTTTCCGTGAGCCTATTTATAAGAAAAAATGGTAATTTAATACTTTAGGGTCATACGTGACTTTCAGGTCATATACCAAAAGGCGTTGGAAACTTGGCCATGCTTCAAGGGTTATGATATGCTATCTCAGTACCAATAATTTTCAAGGTATTTTTTCATCAAATTATGATATGCTAGCCACTCTGTCTATGTTACTTTTCATAGGCCCTGCTATGAGATGCATTTCTCTTTCTTTCTTTTTTCTTGAACTGCGTCCTACTCTTTTGGTGTCTTTTTGTCGTTTTGTCTTTTTTTCTTTTGTTATCACATTTTAGGATATGTTTCTAAAGGGATTAGTGATTGTCAATATTAGAAAATTATATACTTGGAATCTGGTAAGCTTTTAACCGTCAAAACGATAAAAATATATTCAAAGATTTTGCTGCCCACGTTAAACATGTTTTTTTCAAAATAAAGAAAAGGTAAAATAATCAACAGCTCAATAGTCTATATTTTAATATCATTTTCTTTTTTCAAAATGGTTTTCTTTGTATCATCTGAAAGAACTATATTTCTGCTTTTTTCTTTATTATATAAAAGGAGATATTTATAATGAAATTTTGGTGTTGGAAAATTATAAAAATATGAGCTCAGGTGCTAATAAGCTTTCATCAGTTGCGTTTTATAATATGTGAAAATTACTAACAAATATTGTTCAATTAGTAATGATTTGGCCTATAACCCACAAGGTTGTGAGATTAAATACCACAGCCAATGTCACATTGCTGGTGGGTGCAATCTGTAAAAACCTCTGTAAGTGTTCTTTGTGCCTAAAAGTATATCTTAACCCTGGTGGGCCCTCAAAAACCAATTCATCTAAAAATTTTTAACCAAAAAAATAATGTGGAAGTTGAATTTTTTTTTTATTTAGTGACAGTTATTTGTAAGGATGCATGCTGCCAAATGTATCTCGTATTTTTAAAATTTTAAAAAGAACGTTGTCTTTTAGTTTCATTTCAATAAATTATATCGTTAGAAATTTAATGTGTCATCATTTGCCTTCAAATACATTTTGGTGGATATAAATTGTATAAAATATGTCTTCACAAAACAATTGTATGAAAAAAATTTAAAATTCTTATAATTTTCAACAATTGAATATACAAGGTCTATAATCCTTTATAAAGTTACCCTCACTTTTATAGATGCCATTAATATTCAAATAATTTAAAAATTTATGAAATCAACAAACTTAAAATAAAATTTTTGTTTGAATAAATTACATGCAATGTAGAGGTAGAGTTCTATAATGCATTCGTTAAAATAGAAAAATAAACAATATGTAGCCAAATTTTAAAACTTTTTCCTTTTTTTCACTATCAGCCAACAAAATTAAATAAATGAAACAAAACAAAACCGTCGCTATATATTGAGGTAGCAGACATGTCTTCACAAAAAAAACAAAAAACAACAAACAAACAATAGGGGATCTTGATGCCATGCTTTCACGCATCTACACTCATTACATTTAGAAACAAAAACTATATTTTTTTGGTGAACTCTAAAAAAATATTAAAAAACCATATTTTAATTGCGCTTTATAGATGTTTTGGGATTGATATTGTAAAACAAATAAAAAAAAAAACCTGACATGTTAATCTATGAAGTGAACCTAAAATTCAGCACGATCTTATCATTGACCCAACATTAAGGTGAGGATCATAAATTTGTCTAATTAATTATATATTTTTATTTTCTTTTTCTTAATTTTTGTATTAACTTAGACTAACTTTACCTAAATCTAAAACAATACTTTTGCTTTCAGGTTCAATACCTACAGAATTAGACAATCTTTATAAGCCTGAGCAGCTTACGTTGGGCAATAACAACTTGAGGGGTTCTATTCCATTGGAAATTCTTAACATATCAGCTTTGCAAATGTTGGGTCTTCCAAATAGTACTTTATCAGGTAGTCTTCCATCAGATTTTGGATGTGGTCTTCCTAATCTAGAAGAGCTACTTTTATGGGGCAACAAACTTTCTGGAAGAATCCCAAATACAATTTCCAATGCCTCTAAGCTGACCATTTTAGGATTGTCAACAAATAATTTCATAGGGGTTTTACCAACTACACTTGGGGATTTAAGATACTTGGAATACCTTCGAATAAAAAATAACAATTTAACCACATCAGATGCTTCCAATTCTAAAACCAACATTATTACCTCATTGACTAATTGCAGACATTTGAAAATTCTGGTCCTCTCAGCAAATCCATTGTATATAAAACTTCCTAAGTCCATTGGAAACTTCTCTGATTCTCTACAAGAGTTGGACATTGTTTCTTGTGGTATTAATGGTAACATTCCATCAGAAATAGGGAATCTTACTAATTTGCTAACACTTTCTTTGGATCAAAATGTCTTGAATGGACCAATTCCAACAACAATTGGCAGCTTACAAGATCTTCAATTTTTGAGTCCTAAAGGAAATGACTTGCATGGCTTAATTGTTCATGATCTTTGTGAAATCAAACCACTTGGCTATCTACATCTAAGCCAAAACAAGTTTTATGGAGCAATGCCACCTGTTTAGGAAATCTTTCATCTTTAAGGGGACTTCACTTGTGCTCTAATAAGTTGGCATTAGAGATACAATCTTCCTTTTGGGATTTGAAAGATATATTGCAAGTAAACTTGTCTTCCAATCATTTTGTTGGGGGTCTTCATCAAGAGTTGAGAACTTAAAAGCTCTTATCTCATTAGATTTATCTAAAAATCATATTTCAAGTATCATTCCAACAACTATTGGTGGCTTGCTTAATCTGCAGATTCTCTCTTTAGCACATAATGAATTGCAAGGAAGTATTCCTATATCATTTGGGAATTTGCTAAGCATAAAAAATTTAGACCTTTCCCAAAATAATTTGTTTGGGGAGATTCCTAAATCATTGGAGTTTCTCTTTGATCTTAAGAATGTCAATCTCTCTTATAAAAAACTCCAAGGATAGTTAAAATTTTGAGTCCTAAATCTTTTATGATGAATCAAGCTCTTTGTGGTCTGCCGCAACTCTTAGTACCTCCATGCAAAAAAGAAACAGAAAAAAGATCAATGACAAAATTGCTTTTGTTGAAATGCTTATTACCAATAATTGTGTCAATAATTTTTGTTGTCTCAGCCACTATCCTTTTAAGACATAAACATCAAAATTCAAGGGGTCTAGTTGAAAGGGATTTATCAACTTTAGAAGTGCCAAGAAGGATTTCTTACTTTGAAATCTAAGAAGCAACGAATAGATTTGATGAGAGCAACATACTTGGAAGGGGCTCCCATGGTTCTATCTTCAAAGGAAAGCTTTCCAATGGAATGATCGTTGCAGTTTAGATCTTCAATTTTGATTCCCAAGCAATGTTAAGGAGCTTTGAAAAAGAATGTGACATATTGCAAAATACATGCCATCGAAATTTGGTGAAGGTTATAAGTTGTTGTTCCAATGTTGATTTCAAATCTTTGGTAATGGAGTTCATGCCTAATGGGAGCCTTGAAAAATGGTTATATTCTCACAACTATTTTTTAGATTTTCTTCAAAGGCTAAATATAATGATAAATGTTGCAATTGCTTTGGAATATCTCCATCATGGCTTGTTAGCACTAATTGTTTATTGTGATTTGAAGCCAAACAACATTTTATTGGATGATGAAATGGTTGCTTATGTGAGTCACATTGGAATTTCCAAATTTTTAGATAAAGGAAATCTAAAAAATACATAGAGACAATACCTACTTTTGGCTATATTGCACTAGGTAATTATTCTAGACATTGTCTCACTTTTTCCCCTTCTTTTACATTCTAGCAATATATATCTAAACATATGAATTCATAAAAAGCTTATTACACATATATTGTGACTCATTATTCAAGTTAGCAATATTATATATAATTAATGCATGACTAATTAATTAATATTTCTTATAAATACTATATGACTTCTCGAAACACATTAATGTTATTGATTTCATTCAAGTATTAAATTTGTAGTTTATTAATTGATGAACTACAATTTATCAAAGTTATCTATGACTAAAACATGGTCCCTTAATTCTTCTATAGGGAGAAATGTTCTTGACTATTTCCTTCTAATTTTTCAGAGAGAAGATGAAAGAGATATTTCATGAATTTTGCGATTGATGAACTTAGTTTAAGTTATCTTTTTATATGTACATAAAATTCTTAAACTAATTAATATTATAACATTAAGATGAATGTGTATTTTGAAATGTGTGTGTTTGGGATATGGGGGCTAGATATATGTGTGTCTTTGTTTCTTCTACATAAAAATTCGTTTGCATATGATCATAAAATTTTCCTATCAATCTTTAGGGTTAATAAACATTTACATTTAAAAAAATCAAAGATTAAGACTAGGCAGTATAGCATAACTTATTTCTCAATTCTCTCTCATCCCATCTACTCTAATTGAATAAATGAATAGTCTTTTTAGTTATTAGTTATATTTTAATACTTGAATTCAATTATATGCAGAGTATGAATCTTTCGGAGTTGTTTCAACAAAAGTAGATGTGTATAGCTATGGAATTATGCTATTAGAGGTGTTTACAAGAAAAAGGCCCACAGAAGATATATTTGTCTCAGGATTGAGCTTGAAGAGCTAGGTAAGTGAGTCAATGCCACATACAATAATTTACGTCATGGATTCAAATTTATTGCAAGGAGATGAACATCATATCAATAACATTTTGACATCTACATCCTCTATTTTTGAATTGGCCTTAAATTGTTGCACCATCTTTCAAAAGTGTGAGGAAATATGATTGATGATTGAACAAGATCAAGGCCATGTTTATGCATAGGTAGAAGTGCTGTATTTAAATCAGCATTAGCATTCTTGCAATTTGTGTGATTAAATGTTCTATGTTTTTTATTATCTACTTTCAGAATATGTTGGACTCTTCATTATTTATTATACATGTGCATTTATTTTTACCCAAGGCATAAAAATATGTACTCCAGAGCATATAGATTCATGGTAAGTTAAAGAATACATTAAACTAGCCAATAATGATACTTTATTAGTGAAATTTATAGTTTCATTCCCTGAAAATATTTGGAAAGCGTGTAAAAAATCTTGAGTGCATTGCATATAGTGCGTCTGGTAGTCATACGTCCAACATTTTCAAAAGTAGTATTTATACAAGCAACCCATTTCTCTATCTCTGCATTAGCATGCACAATCAGATTGCAATCATCTATTAACTTCTTCAGCTAGCTTTGCTTACTCTGATTGTTTCACGTTCAATCTTAGCTTTATTTTGGTTCTATTTTTCCTATGTTGTACTTGAATCTGTTCCTTAGTAGCAGTTTTACTAGCTCTTTGTTCCTTGCTCTTAGGTATTTTTCCTAATATAATGATAAAACAATGAGAATTATTTCATAAATTGCAAACTTAAACGCCAAAGTCAAAAGGTAAAACACTTGCATCCTCTTGCCAATTCATCCTCATATCAAGCATTTGGGATTTTGTTTGCGGCTGATGCCAAGCCAACATTTTTTGTTCATCATGTATACTTCTTTGTCATTTCTGCCATGTAATAATTTTTGAAACAATTGGCATGACATAAGAAAAAACACATGTATGACACATTTATGACACTTAAGAAGTCACATATTAGAGATTCTGATGGAGTTTCATTAATAGGGATTGGACATGATGCAATGTCTCTAAGTCAAATTAAACCCAAAATCAACTAAGTGTTCTTTGGACATAAAATATTTAATTGCATACATAAAAATACATCCCATAAGGCATATGTTTTTATCCAACTTTCTAACAACAAAAGCAAACACTACAACAAAAAATGAATTTGGTGGGGTTTAACAGTTTATTTTATGGTGTTTATAAAACACTACTAGTTTTATATCTAAAGCCTCAGGTGACATTTCATGAATTAATGAAATGCCACAAGAAGATGTAAAGAGCATTTCTTGTAGGAAACACCACTTTTTTAATTCTTTTTTTAAAATAATCAAGAGGTGGTGTTTTGTCCACATAATTAAACACCACATGTCTAATTCTTCTTTAAAAAAAAAATTAGCAAAGAGGTGGCACTTCCTCTTCTCCTTGTACCTTTTTAATTAAAAAGGGAGAAGAGGTGGCATTACATTTTTGAAACACCATCTTTCCCCAATGTTTTTTAGATTAATGATCATTATTAGTAACCAATGTTATGAAAATCAATCTCCTATTTTAAAACATGCATGCATGGGCTATAAAAATAAACATTTTTGCTCTTTTCAATATAATCATTATAAAATAGTATCTTCAATGCTTTTCCATGTGTGAATCATAATATAAAAACATTTTCTAATTGTAAGATCAATCAATATTGACATAATAAATACTTGTGAACATTCATTCAAAAGATTAATTCCAATTCCTTTCATAAAATTTAATGGAATGCAAGAATTTTCAAATATGGTAGTTGATAACAAGATTAAATCATAACATTAAATATGTATTTTATACATGAATATGTTTAATCAAAATTTTAAGGAAAGTAAAATTCTTGCATTTATTGAAAAGCCAAAATTGCCAAAGCTGTTAGAAATAATTTCACAAGATAAAGAAATTTAAATTACAAAATATCTCATAGTTAATAAAGTTGTTATGAAAATAATCTACAAAAATTACAATATTTTAGAAAAATAAATTTATGGGTAAATCAATTGAGACGTTATTCACTTACTTAAGTTTAAGGTAATAATTTGTTCCTTCTAAATTATACCTCTCTCAATTGCCCCTTAGCTACTCTATTACCTAGATAAGAGGAACAAACAGCTTCTTTAATTATGACTCTACACCATACATTTCCAATAGACATTCATTTCCTCCAAAATTTTCTCTAGTATGTAACCAATGTTATAATATTCAACTAACACATACTTTAAATAAACAATAACTCTGTTTACATATGCACTTTCTTCCCAACATCTAACTTGAAGCCATACCATTTATTTTTAATACATTTGAAGGTTTAAATAAATAGAATAAGCTACAAGTTAAAAATAAATAAACAAATAAAAAATTAAGTAAACAATCTTCATAGTCCTTATATCACCTTCCAACACTTATATCTGAAGTGCAATAGAAAAATTGAATAGTTTCTATACTAAATTTAGTTAATGATTCATTACACACAGTTAGTTATTCAATCAAACCAAACAATTCTTCCTCATACATTTCATCAAACACTATACGTGCATTCTAGAATCAAATCATATGGAAGTACATAAATTTATAAATTTCCAACCATACAATTCTCAAGCTTCAACATGTTCTTTATAAATTTTCCTAGATTCAATTTCTTAACAATATTTGACATGGTATAAGAGCAACACATAGTTTTGAATTAAAATTTTTGTCATGAATACATTGAATATTTTTAACTACTCCATTCCAACTCTTCTATACATTTTAACAAACACCTTGTGGGCACCAATTTTCAAACAAATACCAAACTTCTTCATGTTCAAATTGCCACCTAATATTTCCATTGTCAAAAATTAAAATTTTCAG